GTTTTATAAATATTACGAAAGAAAATAGCAAAAGGGAAAGATTTCATTTCTTACATTTATCATTTCAATAATTTAGAATTTAAAAAAAAAAAAAATAATAAAGATGAAATCGAAATATGCAAAGTAAGAAAATTTTTAATATCGGAAATGTTACATTCATCATTTCTGCTAATAAAAATTGCTTCAAAAATATATTAAAAGGTAAATATTTTTATTCATTGAAAAAGGTAATTATAATATAAAAAGTAATTAAGAATAACAAGAAATTAGCATCATTAATGTTTGAGTAATTGTTAAACAAATTTGAATTAAATTCAAATATTGTTATAAAAAAAAAAGGGAAAGGTATATATTACAAGGAGAAGAAATAAGCAAAAACTTCCATTAACAATGATCAATTCATTCATTCATTTCCAATTTCAACTCTTTTTTCTTCACTAATTCAATTTTATTATTAGCTATAACTATAAAATAAAGCTAATTTTTACATACAAATTTGAAATGAACCGTAAAATATTATTTGAATTTATCATAAATCATTTGATAAATTAAAATCATTTCGTGTTACATACCGAATTTTATGGTATAATTTTCATTTAATGAATTTGATTCCACATAATTTTCCTCTTTTTCTTCAATTCACTAAAGAAGTTAAATAATTTACGATAAATTTTAATTGCACACTAAAGAGATAAACATTCAACTACACAATCATTAAATATTCAATTACATAATTTCAGTTAAAATTTATCATAAATTATTTAGCATCTTTAGCGTATAAAAAGCAAAATTTACGATCATTTGCATATTTTCATCTTCTCAAAATTCTTAATCATTTATCAATACTAACATTTGAGATGTTGATAGATAATTTAGCTGAATAATTCGTTGTAATGATAACATTTTGATAATTTCCTAAATCTTTATCATCGATTCCAAAATTTATTTGCTATGGAATTCCAAATATGTTGAAGTCGGAAATGTTTTCATTTGATTAAAATACAAATATTAATATATTTATTTTTAACATAAAATAGATATGCTATTGCAATTTTTTAAAATAAAGCAAAGCTTTCTTTAGCATTGATTGATTAATTAATGTATTCATTTCCAATTATTCCTTTTCTTCATTAATTCGATTTCATTAATACTTCCAATTGTAAAAAATCAAACCTAAATTTTATGTGTAAAATTTGAAATGAAACATAAAATACTATTTACTTATTTATAAATATATCAATTATGCATCCAAAATTTTTTGTCCCCATTTTTTTCATAAATTTTCTTTTGCTCATTTATATGTAAATATTGAATGGTAATTTTATTTGTTTATTTGTTTCAATTTGTTTTCAAATGTTGTTACTAACTTTTAAATTAGCCTTTCTATAAGTTAGTTTATTATAAAATGTTAAATATAAATAGCTAGCTTTAGAATATGAATAGAATAGAAAGCTAATCTATCCCATGGGAATGAATGATGAGAGCTAAGGTGAATGTAAGAAGCTAGATACATCTTTTAAGCTAACATCATTTATTATTTCTTAAAGCTATTTATTAAATATATATGTATATAAATATAAATACTTTTTTTTAGTAAATATATTTCTTGTAAATAAAAAAAAAATTTAAACTATAAAATTAATATTTGATTGATTTAGTTAACATTGGATAGTATAATTTTATATTTACATTTAAATTTAGATTTGTTTATCTAGTTTGTTTTATTTTCTTATCCATATTAATTACGCATATATCAATTGTAATTTAGGAGTATTTTTTTTTCTTGGGAAATAAAAGATGGCTTAGGATGAAAAAGCAAATAAAGCATTAAAATAAGGAAGTTAAAAAAATTGAAAGCTAAATAAAATGCCTAAATATATCATGTCGATGGCTTTTTTTTTTATTAATTTTATTCAATTTGATTTTTAAAATGAGCTATTTCAGGAAAATGAGTAAAAGAAATTTGCACTTTAAGTTAACCTAATATATATATATATATATATATTAATTCATAGTATCAATTGAATTATATGAAAATGATGATAGTAGTATTTGTTAAACAGATATTATAGATTCAAATTAAAAATAAATTTCATTCATTTCTTTTTCTTCTCTCTTTTTTTTCTCTGATAAATAAGGATAATATTAAATTTTTAAATAAACCTAAAATTTTAATTTTTAACTAAACCTTTAAATTTTTAAACAAACTTTTAAATAAACCTAATATTTAACAGATAAATCACTGCTTAAACTTCTACATATAAAAAAGTAAAAAAACAAGAAAAAAGAAAATCAATCAAAAAATCAATTGATAATTTATATCACTTATCATTAACACAAATATCATTTTTAAATTATTGCATAATATCCTTTTTTCGTTCCTTTTTTTATCATCCCAAATTAGCATAAAATTAATATCTATGAAATAATTTTAAATAAAATTTAAAATGAACGAATGAAAAAATGGTTGACATCATTTTTACTTCGTTTTTTTTATCAATTCATTAATGTTATAAATGAAAATTTTCATATTTTTTTCATCATTATTAATTATTTATATCATACAATTCTATCTTTCATTTTTGTTTTTCTTTTTCTTTCTTTTTTTTCTCTCAAAATTTTATTGAAAATTACATCAAAATGATAACTTTTTCCAATTGTTTTGACAAATTTTTAATTGAAAAGAGAAAAAAAATGCATCGTAATAGATTTAATTTTTATTTGTATTAATTAGAATAAAACAAACGAAACAATTCCTTTCTCATATCATACACTTTTATCCAATTTGTAACTTATTAATATTAAAAAAAA